CTTTGCTGGGTTATTTTCAACCGGCTCAGTCTGAGCCATCCAGCCACAGCCTGTAACGCCCGATGTAGGTCATCCAGGGCAGAGTCCGACCGGTCGCCTAGCATCAGATAGAGCTGGGAGTCATTGGCATATTGATGACACCCAAGCCCACAGCTCCGGGCAATCTGGGCAAGGGGGCGCATGTAGATGTTAAACAACATCTGGGACAACACAGCCCCCTGAGGCACCCCACACTCAAGGGGATGTCTCTGGGACTGCTGGTCCCCTATTGCCACCCTTTGTCCCCAACCTTGGAGAAAAGAGGCAAACCATTGAAGGGCAAGCCCCTGAATCCCCGTGTCGGCGAGGCGGTGGGTCAACAGCTGGTGGTCAACCGTGTCGAACGCGGCCGACAGATCTACCAACACCAGTGCTGCCACACCACCCTGATCAGGATCCCTACGGAGATCGTCAGTCAAGGCGACCAACACCGTCTCCGTCCCATGACCCGGGCGAAAGCTGGACTGGTAGGGATCAAGGACGGAAGCATCCTCCAGAAAGCTCTGTAGCTATAACGCCACTGCCCTCTCAATGAGTTTGCCCAAATAGGGCAAATTAGACACCGGCCGATAGCCAATTCGGTCGGGTCTAAAGATGGCTTTTTCAAGAGAGGGTTGACCATTGCTTCCTTGAGTGCCCCAGGGAACTGTCCCTCTGCAAGGGACATGTTGATAATCTCCCGCAGGGCACCTCGAAACCCCTCGCGGCCCGCTTTAATGAGCCAAGAGGGGCATGGATCAAGGTCACATGTGGTTGGATGCACAGATACGAGCAATCTCTCAGCTTCCTCCAGACTGAGTTGGTCAAAACACTCTAGACCCGGCACCAAAGACGTGCAAGGGGCCTCAAGTTTGCTCACTGTTTCAATTGTGGCGAGGAGATTGCGGCGGAGCACTGAGACTTTATCTGCAAAATAGCTCGTAAATGCCTCACAGCCGATATCCAATTCCCTAGCATTTTGTCTGCCCTGTGGCAGAGCTGTCAAAGCCTGAATTGTACTAAATAATTGGGCCGGGCGTGAGCTAGCAGATGCAATCGTGGCCGCATAGAAATCTCTCTGTGCGGCTTTGGCTGCCATCTCATAGGCTTTCATAAACGTCCTATAAGATGCTCTAGATGCTTCGTTGCAAGCTTGACGCCACTGTCTCTCTAGCCATCTCAGTTCTCGCTTCAGCTCATGCAGCTCTTGGGTATACCAAGGTGCTCGCCTAGCACAAGTGTGGAGAGGGCACCTGGGAGTGATCTCGTCGATGGCCGAGGAGAGCTGGACTTGCCAGTCCTCCACCAGCTCATCCAACGAGCCGCCAGGGGGCCTCAGATCCCACAGGACCATCTGGAGCCGCAAAGGGTCCATTTGGCACCACGGGCGAGCATAAATCTGCTCGCTGCCTAAACAGGGTCGGGGTGGAACCTTCAGATGGGCCTTCAGTGCCTGGTGGTCCAACCATGGCACTACCTCTGTAGTGATCCGGTCCACCTTCACCCCCACCGCGAAGATCAAGTCAAGCATGTGACTGGCCCGATGCATGGGAGCTGAGACAAGTTGAGAGAGTCCCAGCGTTGCCATGGTCAACACCAGGTCCGTAGCCCGGCTGGAGGCCGCGTCCTCAGCTTGGACGTTGAAATTACCCAAGACAACCAGCCTAGGGTGCTCCAGCGCCCAGCCTGATACGGTCTCCAGCAGGGATGGCAGGCTACTGGCCGGTGCGTTAGGTGGTCGGTACACCAGCCAGATTGCCAAACTCTCCTCAGCCTCCAGCATCACGCCAACACACTCCACGCCCTCGATCATCACCGACAGTAGCGCTTTGAGGGAGCAAGCCTCCCGAATGAAAATAGCCACTCCTCCCCCTCGCCCCCGAGTCCATGACTGGTGGAGGACTGAAAACCCAGGTGGGGCAAGCTGGGCGAGAGCTACTGTATTGCCCTCCCGCACCCAGATCTCGGTCACACACGCCAGGTCAACACATTGTTCTTGTACAAAGTCCAGTTGTAGTTTTGTTACTAATAGACCTGGTGTTAAACAGCACCAGTGACAAAGGGGGGTTCTTCATCCTGGCCCCACTGCCAGCCACCATTGGGATGGGCTGTTGGCTGGAAGGGCGCCGAGCCGTTCTGTTTCGCTGCGTCCTTCCCTTAGAACCCCACCTAGGCCCACCGCACTTCCCCCGTCTCAAGAGCACTGGAATTTGCTGACCAGACATCTATTGCCCTGATGGCCTCTGCAATGCTTCAGGCCGCCAGAGGATTGGATGACAGAGAGCAGCAAGAACCACTCCCGAGGCAACAGGTTAACCTTATCTTAACCTACTGCTGCTAAAAAACACTCTGAGTGCTAATAAACAGAATACTAAAACAGTATTTCCTGACCTAACAGGTCATACCAGAGAATTTAATTACCTAAACATTGTAAGTCCCTGGACTAAAAAACCAACAGCCACCGCCATCACTCATACAGCACTCACTCATCATCCTACCAGCAGACAGATCATAAAACACACCCAGCCACAAACACTCAAACTGTTGCCAAATGAAAGAAGATACCGCTGCTGCCTCCCCCAACTACCAGGGGTGTAGATGTAGATGACCCGCCACTTCTCACGTTGGAGAACCATCCAGTAGCCGCCTTGAAGTTCCAAGCTCCCCCCCCAAAGGGAAGAGAAACAACTCTCTTCCACAGTTGCCTGTTCCCCGGGCCAGCCACCAGAGGCACTCTATACATCCCGTCCAGCCCAGCTGCCATCATGCCATGCCAAATACATTTCTCTTCTATTTGGGCTAGGTGCAACCTCTTTCTGTTTGCAATGAAGATTGTCATGCTGGTTATAGCAGGACAAAGAAGGAAGGGCAGCCTTTTTGCTGTTATGATTGCCTTGCATGTCCAGCAGGAAAGATTTCAAATGAAAAAGGTAAGAGATTTCAGTATCAGATATATTGAGTGTAATTCAATATGGACATGTGTATATAGACTCTTGGGTGGAGCTGTGGTGGCTCAAGTGGTTAAGACGCTGAACTGCAGGCTATGGAAGGTCATTAGTTCAGCCGTTTGAGACCCGGGTGCCGCATGACGGAGTGAGCTCCCGTCTCTAGTTCCAGCTCCTGCCAACCTAGCAGTTCGAAAGCAAGAAATTACAAGTAGATAAATACGTACCACTTCAGTGTGCCTTGGTGTTTAGTCATGCCGGCCACATGACCATGGAAACGTCTTCGGACAGCGTTGGCTCTTCGGATTTGAAACGGAGATGAGCACCGCAACCCTAGAGTTGGACTCGACTGGCTTTCGAGCAAGGGAACCTTTACCTTTTTATATAGACTATTGGGGCAATCCAAGATAAGTCTACTAAAAAGCAAGTCCCATTTTATTCAAGTGTGCTTACTTTCAGGAAAGTGTTCTTAGAATGGATGCCTATGATTCTTAATGTTGAATGCATTTCTTCTCAATTCTGTGGTTTTTAATGCAAAGGGAAAGATGCACAGATATGCAAATGCTCTTTAAAAAGAATACCTAAATCTCCGTGCTTTCAAAAATGGGTTTTGGAGAGGCTTTCAGGACGGCAATTAAGACTCTATATTCCTCTTCAATGGCATCAGTCAGAGCCAATGGCATCACCTCGGACCTCTTTTCTATCAATAGGGGTACCACGCAGGGATGTCCATTATCCCCGCTGCTTTTTGCTTTAACAATAGAACCCCTGGTGGAATTAGAAAGGATTCAAACATCACCATGGTAGAGACTGATCATGTGGAACAAAAAATCTTCCTCTATGCTAATGATTTGTTCCTATATCTCACAAAACCAGAGGACTCCCTACAGGCCGTGCACTCTAACGTTCAGGCTTTTGGCCAGATCGCGAACTTAGCAATAAATCAGAGCAAGTCAAGGTATACCCTCTTAACTTGAAACCGTCTACTGTCTCCAATTTAAAATCTCTTTTTAATTTTTTTTCTGGGTAGATAAAATATGGCATCTTCTATGGGTTTTTATACCCTAAGATTTTAAATTACTGATTTGATAATATTCTGACAAAATATACAAGGAAATCTGCACACAGATGACAGGGTGGAACAAATTAAGACTGTCATGGTCAGATAGGCTCCATTGGTTAAAAACATTTTGCTACCAAAGTTTATATTTTTATTTCAGACTCTTCCAGTAAACCTCACAGTTCTGACATTGAAGGGATGGCAAAAGCCCCTCACCCACCTTCTGGGGTCTAATAGGAAACCCAGAGTCCCCTTTATAGAGCACCTTCTGTAGGGCTTCATCTGATGGAGTCAGGGGTCTCCCCGATCTTAAAGGGTGTTATTACACGGCTAATTTAGTTCATGTCATAAGGATACTTCAAAGTGAAAACCCCTGAGAAATTGATATCTATAGAACAAGCTTTTTTGGCCCTATTCTTCCTGCAGGAACTTTGCTGGCTTCAACCAGCACTCAGACTGACCCAGGTGATTCATAACTGCTCTTTGCAGGTTTGGGACTGCATGAAAAAAGACTTCGTCTTTTTTCACTCTCCATAATGGAGGGTTGCTATTCAATGCCATTCAAGTCCGTCATTAAGGAATGGCTCCCTGCTGGGTTATCATGTCCCATAGACTGGGTTTGCAATGGGAAAATAATGAAAAGAGATATGGCGGAGGTTAAAGGGAACATTATCATTCAATGGTTTAGATATTTCCAGGTCAGAGGTAGGATAGAAACTCTGAAAGGAAAAGGCTCCTCCTTGTCCTGTTTTCTGATTTTGAGACTATTTTCAAGAATTATGATAGGGGCTTGAGAGGCCTCTTATCTTCTATTTGTATTATTCTCAGAAAGGTCATCACAGAAGGCCGGACACTTGCACAGGAGAAATGAGAACTGAACATGGGTACGGAACACTACTTATGGAATGGCACGAAGTTTGGAACTTGGGTGCTCATTCCTCAAATTTTTTTAATATTCATCTCCAAGCTTTTAAGATGTAGACCACGTGGTACTACACTCTCTCCAGGCTACACAAGATAAACTAGGGTATCAGCCCGTTGTGTTGGAAGGGATGTGGCCAAGCTGGCACATTTCGACATTAATGGTGGGACTGCCCTCTCATCCAGAGATTCTTGGGAAGACATCTTAGCTAGGATTGGTAGAATAGCAGGTCAGGTCATCCCCCCTAGCTTAGATCTAGTCCTACAAGAACTCTGGTCAGACTTCTCCATGAGAAAGGGTAAGAAGGCTACGATTTCTACTCTACAAGGTGGCAGCAAAGTTAGCCATTGCTTCCAAATGGAAAATTAAGAAAGCACAAACGATGGAACTATGGTTCAATAAACTATGGACACAATTTGTTATGGGAAAGCTTGCTGACAGTTTAGACACCCACTCCTGTGAGGATATGAATCTTCGAAGTTATCTAGCTGTATCTAACTGAGAATGAGGTTATCCCATCTAATGTACACTATCAGAACTGGATTCATTTCTGAGTGTTTGGTTGTTAGCTTTCTCTTGAGGGGGTTATGACATGGCTTAATGCCCTTAATAGTATGAATATGTTACTTAAATTCCTACAACCATATACGTGTTATTACTTCTTTCCATCACCGGTTTTTTTCATGATGATACATGTATTTTTGCATCATAGTCTTTTTAAAAAAATGATACCAGAGTTGACTGGGGGCAAGGGGAAGGAAGAAGTTCAGCATATCTAGAAATTCTGGAGGAGACAATGTAATTTGTAATACATTGAGTTAGGGGGGAAAGCACTTTGCCACCATCTGAGGAAATCTTGTATACTTTGGTGGCACCACTGAGCATTAATTTTTCAGTGTATTATTAAAGGCATAGGTAGAATGCTTAGCTGTCTGACTTCAGCTGAGCAGCACTCTGAAGATCCTTGCACATTTCAATGAACTCTGCCGAGAACATGCACGTACAAAAAGGATGCTTTGCTTTTCAGATTTAAATGAATGTTCTCAGTGTCCTGAAGGTCAGTATCCAAACAAAGACCAGAATTTATGCCTGCCAAAAGATATTACCTTCTTGTCTTATGAAGAACCTCTGGGGATCTGCTTGGCTACTCTTGCTCTTTCCTTCTCTTTCATCACAGCTTTGGTGCTCAAGATCTTTATTAAGTACCGAGACACTCCCTTAGTCAAAGCCAACAACCAGGACCTCACCTATACTCTCCTCATCTTCCTCCTGCTCTCCTTCCTCTGTGTTTTGCTGTTCATTGGCCAGCCTGAGAAGGTGACCTGTCTCCTTCGACAAACAACTTTTGGCATCATCTTCTCGGTGGCTGTTTCTTGTGTGTTGGCCAAAACAGTAATTGTGGTTCTGGCTTTCATGGCCACAAAGCCAGGGTCCAGACTGAGAAGATGGATAGGAAAAAAGGTGTCAAATTCCATTGTCTGTTCATGTTCCCTTTTACAAGCTACTATTTGTACTGTGTGGTTGGCAATATCTCCCCCCTTCCCAGATTTTGATATGCATTCAATGACAAAGAAAATTGTGCTGGAGTGTAATGAAGGGTCAGTCATTATGTTTTACTGTGTACTAAGCTTTCTAGGCTTTCTGGCCATCATCAGCTTCACCGTGGCTTTTGTAGCCAGGAAGTTGCCCGACAGTTTCAATGAAACCAAGTTTATCACCTTCAGCATGTTGGTCTTTTGCAGTGTTTGGGTGTCCTTCATTCCAACCTACTTGAGCACCATGGGGAAATCCATGGTGGCTGTGGAGATCTTCTGCATCTTAACCTCCAGTGCTGGGCTACTGGGATGCATCTTTTCCCCAAAATGCTACATCATTCTACTCAAACCGGAGCTGAACACAAAAGGACAGCTAATAAAAAGAAATAATTAAATCTTATGAATAAATCCCAAGGATATATTCTATTGGAATTAGCGGTATTTAGAGCATGAGGTCTATGATTTCTTTTGGAGTATTTCTTTCCTTTGTACAATCTTTACTAAATGTAGCCTATCTACTTAGTCTGGGAACCAACTAGGACAATCACAGCTGGGCTTGCAAAAGCTTGTTAATTGTCTGTTCTATTTGTATTTCATGTGCCCCAAATCATTCCCCAGGTGTTTGAGTTTAGCCCTTTCTCAAATTTTAACTGACTTTTCAATGTGGGTTTTACTCATCCTTTATACTGTAACATTTAGTGCTTTGTTATATCACCAGATGTTCAGATTGTATCAATGGTTGCATAAGAAGTTATTAGACCCCCCCATTGGAAATAAATGATTTTGTGAGTCCCAAACAGATTGAAAACTGTTTTCCTTTGAATTCCCCATTTCCAAATGCACAATGCATATTTTGCATTCCTGGAACTTTCCTGAAGCATTCTTGTTTATTCCTTTTTTACAACCCCAAAGAAATCAATTGATTATTCTTACTATATGCATAAGAGAAGAATGAACAATTGGTAGATTAGCAAGAAAGCTGCTATACCTCCATACCATGAACAGTCAGAATAAGAAACTTAGGTCTATTTGTTTCTTCATTTGAAGTTATCTTCTTAAACTGTTACATGCAAGGAAGTCTGCTCCATAGCTCTGTACATCTCACTGTGAAAGATCCTCTGGAGTGGCTCCCAAAGGCCTGGATAAAATATCCCAGTTGATATCCAGTTTGATATCAGCATTTGGGTGGGCACTGCAAATGGTAAGAAATTTTCTAGACACACAAAACAGGAATGGCACAGCTGCTGGAATGCTCCAAGGAGCTCTGTAATTAAGGGCCATTTCTCTAAAGTCTTCAGAGATCCCTCAGATACTTGGCCATGAATCCTTCAAAGTTCCTGGACCCCATAACTTTCTTCGTATTATTAGCTTCTCCTGTAACTCCATCAGTTTTCCAGGGAATGTCAACTGCTGCTGCTCAACCTTTGTTCAACCAGCCCAATCCAAGCAATCCCCTTGCTCAGGTAACTTCATCCAGCTTTCTAAGTTATCCTGCCTTCCCCAGTGATCCTACCCAGCATGGCCCTTTTTTGGACTTTCATTTCCCCCCTAAGTGTGCATCTGTCTGCCTTCAAGAAAAATTGAAATACACCAACAGGAAGCAACAAGCTTTACCTTTGATCCATGCCTGCTGTGGATCTCAAACTTTGCATAGCATTGGGGCAATTATACAATCCCTCCTTGATGTCTAGTCACTTCCAAATGTTTCAACCCTCTGAAGCTATAAGTCCCTTTAACTTTGTATTTGGTTCTGCTTCCAAACCTTTGCTATGTCTGACATCTTCAGATCCCTTTCCCATCTTTGTAGCTAGCTCTTTCCTCCATTGCAGAAATCACTAAACTCCCTCCATCCATCCTCAGACCTTTGTTCCTTGCTTGATCCCAAAGAATGAAGAAAATAGAACAGTGTTGCTGTGGCAATAAATTTTATTCATTCTATGTACCCCAACACATTTCAGCTGATTGGGAATAACACCAACACTTTGAAATGATGCAGATCCCCCTGAGGAAGAGCTGAATGAAACACATTGGGATACATAGGATGAATGAAATTTATTCCCTTCATTCCTTCGATTCATTGGTGTGGCCCTTCCTCTTCTTGCTGACTTCATTGTTTGATCACCAGTTCCATAGCTGGTATCTTTTGGGGCTTCCTACCATCCTGCTTGGAGGCCCAAATCAAACACTTCCAGGTAATGGCTCAAGCAGCTCTTTTCTTGTTTTTAATAACAGATCTGAATTCATGTTTCAGCAACAATATCCAATGAAATATACCTTCATTGTTGTGTAATTTTAATTGCAAAATCTATAACAGATTTCCTTTTTTAAAGCCCTGCAGTCAGCATCAAACCAATTCCCCTGTCTGGCCTGACCAAAAATGCTGCTTCTTTATGATTTGGTTTGGAGGAGGAGGAGAAAGAAGCAGCAGCAAAAAAACACCAAATTTAATTTCTTTTAAAATATGATTATTTTGATATAAATGTTATTATTTCTTAACAAAACTATTCATCTAATACAAAACGTGTTCCAAATAATTGCAATGCAGAAGTAAAGTAACAGTCATCATCATGATGAACAGATTATGAATAATGTGATACAATCTTAGAAACGATGGAGGGACAGAGAGAAGGAGGGCTGTTCTCAGAGAACTGCAAGAATGAATTTGGGCCGAGGCGTTAAACAGGGGGAGAGCAGACTGCAATTCTCGGGTCCGCCTTCTCCCAAGCCCCACCCACCAGACACAAGCTCCTGGCAGCCAGTCATTATCCGGCCACATGGAAGGCACTCAAGCCCTGCCCCACAGCCACCAGGAAATGCCATTGGAAAGAACATGCAGATATGAGCAGATACTGATTTCTCAGTTAGTAGTTCATACTTTCTGAATACAGCAATCAGTCATTTCAGATACCAGATTTTATTTGAATTTCCACAATTAGGGTTGCCAGCTCCCAGGTGGGCGTGGGGAATCCCCTGATGTTTTGGGCTTCTGCCCGCCGGCAGCCAGCTTGCCAGTGGGGGAAGCCCTGCCCACAACTGCCATAACCTGGAATGATGTCTCCAGCATGAAGACATCATACAGAAAGGACATCATCATGGCAGGGGCATCACATTGCAATGTCACTCCAAACACACCCCCAACTCCCAGAAAGCTCCCTCCCCCCCACCCCAATGGAGAGACACC